TACAAAGTTAGTTATAAGGTTATTATACGTATTTAATATTTTACAAAGTATAATGCAGTATCGATATAACAAAAAATTTTTATAATATATAACTTATAACTTACTATAATGTTATTTCAAATTTCCAAATAAATAAATACAGTAGTATTGAATTGAATAATTATTATAATTAAAATTTAAGTTGATTTATTTGTGAAAAATATTCATTATTTACTTTCTTAAATTGTTTAATATACAATAGAAAAGAGAGTACGACTAAGTTGGCAAATTAGAAAAATTAAAAAAAATGATTTTTTTTTAATTTCTAGAATTTATTTACTCAAATTAATTTTGTGTTTATTTATTCTTTATAATACTATCAAGCTTAACAAAATTTAATTTTCAATTTAGCAACTAAATTCTTTTTATTGTCATTTTTTAAATTGAAACTAATTGTTCGTTTCTGATAAGCAAATTTTATTTAAAAAGTATCTTCTGCATTATTATAGAAAAGCACAGAAATGAAATATGGGTTTACAATCGCTACTGATTCCTTTGTCATCGCCTACTCTCCATGATATTCTAATATTTTTCATTATTGTCGTTGCAGCCTATACGGTTAAATTTTATTATGCCTATTTTACTCGCGAAAATAAACTTCCTGGGCCCTTTCCATTACCTTTGATTGGTAATCTTTATTTTCTTTATAGAGAATTAGATGATATCCTCTTTGATCTTCAAGAAAAATATGGAAGCAAACTGTTTGAGTTTTACATTAGTTCAGAGCGAAAGATCTGTATAGGAGATGCAAACCTACTGGAAGACATTAATAAATATTCATCAAGTTCAAATTTTAAAAGTCGTGCTGAATTCGAATTAGATGAGTTAGCTGGCAAAGGAATTGGCTTTAACAATAATTTAGAATCTTGGAAACATAATAAAGCATTTCTAGCCCAAAGTATCATGACACCTTCATTTTGGAAAGAATATATTAAAGAAATTGAAATGATCTTTGAAGACTCAATAAAATTGATGGAGAGCAAACAACAAAGTTCTAGTTTTGATATCGATTTTAAGGAATGGGCAGTTAGACTACTAGCAATTGAAGGATATACAAAAGAACCTATTTCAAAGGAGTTGTCATATAAAATAAATATTTGGATAAAAAGTATTATCTTTCATCGTTTGCTGCCAAAGTTTATTGCTACTTACGTTCCACCTTTTAATTTATTTAAAAAAAAGTATTTAAAAAACGATGAATGGTTGAAAAAATATTTTGATGATTTAGTAGAAAAAAGAAGAGAAGAAATCAATCAAATGAAAAAATACAATTCTGACATTTTAACAACATTAATTTGTGCAAATACCAAGAATAAATTAAAAGATGAAGAAATCAGGATCATTATTTATGAAACTTTTATTGGCATTAGCACTGTAAGTATTGCTATCTTATTGTATCTTTTAAGTTTATTACATTGCAATTCAAGTTTATTAACACCACCTCAAATTTATTTAGACAACAAATTCTGTAAGCTTTTTAGTATATTTACTTTGTAAAAATCCCTTAATAAAAGAAAAGGTTTATGCGGAAATTGACAAGGTATTTTATAATGACAAAACTCGGCCCATTACATATGACGACATTAGTACGATTAAGTTACCTTATACTGAGGCTTGTGTCAATGAATCATTACGTCTAATATCAACAGTGTTGTACACTTTAAGGTGTGCAATAGATGATGGTAATGCATGTGGCTTTAACTGGAAAGCAGGACAAGAATTCATAGTGCACTATAATTTTATTCATCTTAATAAGAAACATTGGGAGGATCCAGTGAAGTTTAATCCAGAAAGATTTATTAAGAATGATGAGTATATTGAAAAAAATAGCTTTATACCATTTGGTGGAGGAAATAAAATGTGCCCGGCACGCCTTTTAGCAATGAATTCTATCAAAACTATTATAGTTTTATTCTTTAGAAAATATGATATAGAATTAGTTGAATCTGAAGCACCTTTGAAAAGGTCATGTGTACTTTTAATTAATGAATGTAAGGAGCTAAAAGTGCGCATTATCCCTCGATAATATAAGACCAGAAGAAAATTGTCAACTTGTTTACTCAATGCTGTAAGGAACTTATCTATTATAAAATAAATTGATTTTTGTGAAATGTAATAAACTATAACAAAATATCTTTAACCATAAAAAATGTAAAATTAAAATTCTTATCATCTGGAATTTCATTTTAATTCTATTATTCATAGAAGCAAAGTAAAAAAATTTTTGAATTAAAAATCTTAAATTTTGAATTAAAAATTTTAATGTTAAAAATTTTTGAGAACTTTATAGAATGATGTTATCTCGCAAGAAGTCAAACACGATTAATTTGATCTGATATTTTTATACGGGACGGTTCGCAAGTCAAATTGGAATAAAAAATGCATTCAATAAAATTTTAAGATTTTCTTACAAAACTATTCAGCTGAAATTTTGATTTGTGAACCGTATGAACCCAATAATTTTGACATCGATATATTAATTAAGGAATCAATATGCTTGGCAACAAAATAAGTACAGTATTAAAGAACACTTTGAAGTGTTT